TAAAGGTTCAGCAGAAATTAGTTTAGGCCTGTGCATCACTGAACCATCAATAACAAGGGATGGAAATACTACAACTGCTTTAGTGTTCTGGGATGGATGTTTGGGAATCAACCCAGGGAAGTGTAATACAGTTAGGTAAATTCAGTGGATTATAGAAACACTAGAGGCCTGGTGCACCAATTTGTGCACTAGTGGGGTCCCTCAGCCTGGCCAAAACGGGCTCTCCGACATCCGAGGGGTCCCGAATTGCAAAAGGGTTCAGGCCAGGCTGAGGGATCCCACCGGTGCATGATCTGGGCTGGGGAAGGATGCCGGAGGTTGGCCAGCCTGGGAGGCACCGTTGGAGGGCTCCAGGGTGTGTCCAGCCCATCTCGCTCAGTCCCAGTCCTGATCAGCTGGACCCCAGCAGCAAGCTAACCTTCCAGAGTGTCTGCCCCCTGGTGGTCAGTGCATGTCATAGCGACTGGTCGACCAGTCGACTGCCCCCCTCTCCCCCGTGGTCAGTGCACATTAGTGAGTGGTTGAGTGGCCTTAGCATATCATTAGCATATTATGCTTTGATTGGTTGAATGGATGACTGGACACTTGGCATATTAGGCTTTTATTATACAGGATAGTAGTGCACCTTGGTTCACTAAGTAATGAACTTGTTTGTGTCCATGGTCAGAGGAGCCACCCAGGAGATGTCAAGTTTTTCTACAGTTAGATATGTAAAAGGGGGCAGAGGGTTTCTGGTTGGTAGAGACTGCATCAACTAAAGGTAGGAAGGGGAGCTGTGCAAAAAAAAAAAACCAGTCAAATTAAGGACTTCCATGCTTCTGGAGCATAAGATTAGAGGCAGGGGAAGTAGCTGGAATAGTGCGTGGATGCCTAATCACTGAGGGGAGTTGTGGTAAGGAATCTGGATGCTTTTCCTATATGAATGGAGGAGCCACTAAATACAGTGGGGCCTTGACTTATGAGTGTCCCGACTAACGAGTTTTTTGATACCAGCTGTCTCTTGGCCCATTTTTTGCTTTGACAGAGTAATTTGAGTTAACGAACTCCTTAATGAGCTTGGTCTCGGAAGGAATTAAACTTGTAAGTCAAGGCCCCACTGTACTATCAAGCAGAGCATTAAGATAACAGAATCCTATCACTCTGGCTGCAGTGTGGAGGGAGGCAAGTCAGGAGACTGTTGCAGTAATCCAGGAGATGTCTTAGATTTTAGACTAGGGAGAGTGACTGCAGATTTCAGAAACATTATGGAAATGAACTCAACATGACTAGTTAATTTGACTATAGAGGAGTGCAAGGAAGCAGTCCCTAGCTTTTGTAGCTGTCTCCTTTGGATATTGGGGTGATACTGTGTCACTGATCTGTTGAGGCTAGAGTTCATTATTATGATTTTTAAAAATATATTTTTATTGATTTCAGAGAGGAAGGGAGAGGGAGAGATAGAAACATCAATGATGAGAATCATTGATTGACTGCCTCCTGCATGCCCTCCACTGGGCATGTGTCCTGACTGGGAATCAAACTATGAATTCCAGGTTCATAGGTTGATGCTCGACTACTGAGACATGCCAGCTGGGCTAGAGTTCATTATTTTTTGAAGGGAGTGGGCATAGCTGACGACCTTGCAGTAAAAAACTGGAGCCTGAGAACCTCTGAAAAGTAGAGACATCTGCAATACATCTGGGCTCCTCTCTTGGGGGTCTAAAATTTTTTAAAGAGGTGCCTAGATGGAATAGTCCAACAACTGGGGTGAAAAGTTATCATTTACAGGCCAGATTAGTAAAACAGTGTTATTTCCCTTATATTGTCCTGGAGCCTTCAGTAAATGTTCTAGGATTCATGCACTCTTATTTGGCCAAAATATTAAAGGTGATGAAGTGTCCCTTGAGGCCACTGTGGTGGTCCATTAGATTGTGAGCTCCTTGAAGGGAGAGGTTGTTTCTCCTCATCTCTGTATCCCTAGTATCGATCCCAGGGCCCAATGCATGGCAAACATTTGATAAAGACTGCATCCCTACTGCCTAAATTGATGCTGGGTACTAGCAGATGTTTAATAAGCACTTAGGGGAACTGCTGAAAACTCCAAATGGGCATATATTTCTGGGGCTAAGACGAAAACTATGAGAGTCAGCCACAATCTACTTATTACCAATAAGTTGTAAAGATGTGGTTTTAATAGTAAGTGCTTTCTCTAGGAATCAGGGATGACTCCAACTTATCTAGCTGGAGGTGAATATTCATGCCAAGAAGACAGGAAGGGGATGAATTTTTGGGCAGAAGCACTCAGAGTTGTAGGTTTATTTAATAAATGCTTTGAGTGTCTAGTATGTCACTCAAAATATGGCAGAAAGAGCTTTCTGGTAATAATGTGAAAGGCAGATTGGAGCAGAGGGAGATATGGAGAACCCTGCTAGGAGTGAGTGTCCGACTAGGGAAACTGCAGTGAAATAGCACAAGAATAGCTGTCACTGAAGCTATTATCTATCTGCTAGACCAGTGACCTCTTCACCTTCACCCTTATCATCTGAGACAATGGGCCCAATACGCTCTGAAAGTCCAGTCCAAGATAAAAATCTCTTCTCTCCACCATACCGGGGATATGGAAACTGTGGGACCCTGTTCTGATGCATTTAGCCTGGGATGACAGCACTGAGTCTTCCCATGACTATCACCTTACTCAAGCCTCTGAGCTTTGAGAGGTGGGCAGCCTGGCCGGGCCAAGTTTGGTTTCACACTAATTAGTATACATAAAGGAGTTTCCTACTTCTCATATGCCCAGACCATTGTGAAGCCCGATTTCCCCTTTCTCAGTTCCAAGAGAGGCCCAGATTCGACAATAAAAAATTTCCAGGAAATTCCAGCAGGTTTAACTTCCTGATCCTCCTCCCACTTTAACCCTGTCCTTCATTTCACTCTCCCCTCCCGCCCTCCCTTCCACTCCAAGAGGAAAGAGCTGATGCTGGAGTCCAGTATCCTCTGCTCAACGCTTGCACTCCCTTGGCCAGGATAGTCGTACATCGGAGTCCTCAGGTCCTCTCCTTTGAGGCCCATTCAAGGCTTGAGAGAAGCACATGAGGGTATTACGTGATCCTGCCTAGAAACAGAGGATGGTTATAGTGCTCCTTGAAGGTTTTTAGGGTACCAGGTTCTTATGGAAGGTTCACTTCTAGATTCACACTCTCCAACCCTTGTTAGGAAGTAATTTTTCTCTAAGAAGTCCCAGGGGTTTGGTCTTTATGCTAGATGTCATAACTCAATCCCTTTTGGGCCCGATGCACGAAATTCAAAAGTAGGTCTTCCTTCCCCCGGCTGCCGGCACCGGCTTCCCTCTGGCACCCAGAACCCGTGCTTCCCTCGCAGCCCCAGCTTTTTCTGGAAGGACATCGGTCTATTATTATACTTTTTATTATTATTATTATTATTATAGATGCCCCATATAAACCAGCATTAAGAAAAACAAAACTGACCTAACCCAATAAAACCTGGATTTAAGAGCCAGAAACATATGCTGTGAATTTACTATCCCATGAAGACAGAGCATTTGGATAGTTCTCATTCTCAGAAATCCCAAGGTGAGAGAAAAAAGATCAGTTTACATATATTCATACAAGGAATTTTACCTATTGTGCAAAGAGAAGGTTATATGGCTACCCAACAGGTTCTGGGCTCCATGAAGACTGTCCACTTCACAACTCTAGCTCCAGTTCTTAGAGATGAAGAGATCCAACGGCCTATGATCATGGGCACTGACGAGGCTGCACACGCTTTGGCTCCAGTTAACTCCCTGGTGTCCGAGGTGTGTGGGAGCTGTGGATGCCTGCTTCCCGGTCCTGCCGCAGCCCACGAAGGAGCTGGTTTAGAAGTGTGAGGTTGCTGTCTCTGCGAGGCAGGGGCAGGGGTGGGAGGCAGTTCCCTTTATACTCGATCACTGCCATCTTAGCCCGATCCTGCTGATTCCGATTTGGGATCTGCAGCATTCTCGTGTAGCCCCCACTCTGACCTTGGTACCGAGGGGCCAACACTTGAAACAGCTTTGGGATCAAGTCCTTCTCCTAGAGGGGGAGAGTTACCCGGAGGAGAGCAGAGTCAGGCACCACTGCAGAGACATTTAGCTCTCAGCACTCCCAAAGGCAGGGTCTCCACACACACACACCCAGACTCCCACCCACTAACCGCTCACCACAATGTGGTTGAGTCCAAGTTACACAGAGGGGTTAGTCACAGGCAGATGTGCAGATTTAGATTCTCACCGAATTGTATCTACTTACGTCACGAGTTTCTAATTTAGTTGACAGCATTTGTCTCTAAGCCAAGGGAGTGTTTTGGCTTAATTCTGCCCAGCCCCCCTTTCTCTAACAGCCCCCTCCCGACTCAGGAAACAAAGAATGCGACTTGGGTGGCGGAAAGGACGCACTTACTGTCAGCCAGAAGTCAGCCATGCGCATGGCTCTTTCGTTGGTGTCGCCCAGCTTCCCATAGTCGATGAGCTGTGAGGACAGAACATCAATCTGATCCAACCCGAGCAAGACACGAGGCGGCAATCTCACTTCTCTCATGCTGGGCTGCAGCCCATTCATCCCACTGGCCAGGCTTGTCTCTAGGTCAGGGCGCTCCTAACCCCACAGCCCTAACCGTCTTCCACTGGAGGGGCCAGAGGAGTGGGCTCCGCTAACGTCACTGAAGGATTCAGACTTGGGGGCAGGGCTTACCACGGAGGTCCCACTCCTTCCCCAAGTCCCGCCCGCCCCCGCCCCCTCGGGCCAGACCCGCGCTGTGGACCCGAGCGAGGTCCCGCCTCTGACCTTCTCGGCGTAACCCCTCATCTCGTCCACGCGCGCCCAGGACGCCTCGATGCGTTCGTGCCGCACTAGTCCCGTCAGCAAGTTCCGCAACAGGTGGATGCGGGACTCGGGACCAAGGCCCAGGCGGCGGTACACGCGGCCATGGGAGATGGCGGCGGCGACCGACAACCGCATCTTACCCGCTGCTCCCCAAACCCCCGGAGCCGGAACTGGAAACGCGTGGGGAACTGCGCGGAGGGGCTGGCTTGAGAGGACGCATGCGCGGTAGCTCAGTGCGTGGTGGACGTGTGTGCGCATGCGCACCAGAGCCTGCCTGGTTGGCAACCTGGGGGAGGGCGAGAAGGGGTGTTGACCTCTTCCAGGGCTGGCGAGCTGGGCGGGCATCAGGCACCGCGTGCGCTCCCTGTCGGTGGGTGAGCCAGGCGCCCCCTAGTGAGGGAGGAGCTGGCTGTCGGGGTCTTTGGGGCTGCCGGAGGCTTCCTGCGCGGCCTATAGAGCGACGGAAGCTCCACCGCGGAGCCTGCTGGGAAAGTGAGTATCTGAGGCACCCGGTGCTGACGACTCAGCCCCGCCCTGGACTGTGTGTGAGCAGGCGTGTCTGACACAGGGAGGGCATCATTTTTAAAAAAAATATATACTTTGTTGTTTTTTTACAGAGAGGAAGGGAGAGGGATAGAGAGTTAGAAACATCGATGAGAGAGAAACATCGATCAGCTGCCTCCTGCACACCCCCTACTGGGGATGTGCCTGCAACCCAGGTACATGCCCTTGACCGGAATCGAACCTGGAATCCTTCAGTGCACATGCTGATGCTCTATCCACTGAGCCAAACCGGCCAGGGGGGAGGGCATCATTTTTGACACAATTATTTTCAGTAGTCATGGTGAAATGAAAGGAGTAGCAATGAAGTTCAGTTAAGAAACACAGTGAAAACTTCGTTTTGTTGAGGTAGGTACATATAATCATCCAAAAGCACTCAAAGGAAAAATAATGGATTTATACTTTTAAATTACATCAGTGCATTTTTTTTAAAGGGAGAAAGCATACGCTTTTATGTGTTAAAGTAACATACAATAACATTATAGTTTCTGGTCTGGAGCCTTAATGCCTATACATTTGCAATGAATATGAAAACATTGTTCTTTGTTATGAGCTGAATTGTGGTTGCCCCCACATAGGGCAAAGGATATGTTAAGTCCTTATGTCCTCTAACCTCCTCCACCTCCCCTCCAGTCCCTCAGAATATTGCCTCATTTGGAAGGAGGGTCACTGCACATCAGTTCGTTAAGATGAGGTCATACTGGAGTAGGGTGGGCATCTAATCCAAGTGACTGGAGTCCGTATAAAAAGAACTGAGGTGAAGAGACAGAGGGACACACTGAGTAAAGATAACCTCCTGAAGACAGACACACACTGGGAGAACCCATGTGACCAAGAAGGCAGAGATCTGCCTTAGGCACTTGCAAGACAAGGATCCTTAAGGATTTCTGGCAAACACTGGAACCTAAGACAGGGCATGGAACAGATTCTTCTCTAGATCCTTCAAAGAATGTATGACTCAGCTGACACATTGGAGCTATGAGACAATCCAGTTTATTTGTTTTAAGGTGCCCAGTTGTGGCACTTTGTTACAGAAGTGCTAGGAAAGTGATACACTTGTCTTCACATATTCATGTTCACTAGATGGCATACTTAGAATGTGTCACTTGTCTTTGCTCATAGATGACCAGAGGACACTTCTTGTTAATTTTAATTTTGAAAAGTTTATTTTATTTGAAGCAACAGATAACAAATAATTAGGAAACATGGATATTTTGGTAGAAATTTATACAAATTGCACTTCACAATAAATTCCAGAAACTACAATACCTGTCTTGTTTCTTTCGGATTAAATCTTACAGCTTTCAGTGAACTCCACAATTGAAAACTCACCATAAATATCTATTGATAAACATTTTTGAAGATCTTTTGCAAAAGTTGGAGAAAATGAACACTGCCACTGACATTATTTGATCTATTTGCTTCAGAAGGAATGTCCTCTTGGTGAAAATGTACAGGATTATAGATTATCATTTTTATTTATTTATTTATCTTTGGTAATATAAGACCATCATTTCTTGTCTCTTCTGATAGTCTTTAAAATTCGATTCTTTTTTCTATGTCAATTTCTTTACATTTAGCATAGTTAATATATTTCTCCAGAATTTTTTTTGTATATTCAAGGAACAATTTTAAAACTTGTTGTTTTACTTTATGTTGTTCAAGGCTTATTTTGGCTGATTGCCAATATTTTTGTATCTGACTGACCTCATCTGAAACTTCACCTTACTAAAAAAAGATGTCAGAAAAGTCTCATATAGCTAAGATTGTTTAGTTTAAATTTACTACTATAATAGCAGGGCTATATTCTTTCATAGGGGTTGGAGCCAGAAAATGCACCTGAAGTGAGTTTGAAAGATCATAAATTTTAATGAATTTAAAAGTTATGTCTGTGGCTCAATTTAACTGTGTAACTGATAATTCTGCAAATTAATTTCCATGAAGAATGAAATATTTTTAGTGGATTAGTTTTAAAAAGTGATCATTTGAAGCCTACATATGTAGGTTACTCAACACTAACCATAGTAATTGTTTAGAACTTAGACCACAGAAGATTTTTGTGTGAAGGTTATTGTATCTCTAACACTGTTAGTATTGTTGTGCAAGGAGATAAGAATCAGATTGACTCCTAGTTCGTTTTATTGCTACTTTCAAATTCTTTACAGATGATTTGCCTCCTCATTCTTGCATCTGGGCGGACTTCAACTACCTCCTGACCCTTAGTACCCAGTGGCTCTGAGTGTCCAGTCTAGCCCCCAGGAAAGGCATTCTAATGGATCTGACTATTCTGGGTGAGTCAACACCTGGAGTAACCCTGATGAGACTGTAGGTTGAGCCTCTGAGGAGGTGCTGGTTTTGACTGTAGTTCCAGCAGAGGTGAGGAAAGTGCTCTCAAGCAATGTTCTGGGAGGTATCTGAAGAAGAAAGACCCCAGCCGGTAGGAAAATGCTTACATAGAATTTCATCGCTTCTGCTGGGAGAAAGGTGTTGGACCTGTCCACAGTACTGCAGAGAACCCTGTGTGATGTTGTGATAAAATAAACAACATTTATTTGTCTTAAATCCTAAATCCCTTGGAATTTCCACAGTGAAAGGGACAAAGGAGCATTTTTGTTATTCATAAAATGTCCATTTCTACGATACCTGAGATTATGCTAATGAGGTAGCTTTTGGAGGATGAGGGCTGGTTACCAGAGGAACTAGCCATGTGATTAGAGTGATTAGAGGGTTGGAGCTGTCAGCACTCCCCTACACCTACTTTCAATGGAGAGATTGGAGATTCACATAATCACCAATGACAAATGGTTTTATCAATCCTGCTTCCACAAAAGCCCTAAACAGCAGGTTTTGGAGAGTTTCTGGGTTGATGAATATATTGGGGTGCTGGGTAGTTCAGCATGCTCTGAGCAGGCATGAAAGCTCTGAAATCCTTCCTACATACCTTGCCCTATACAGCTCTTCCATTTGGCTGTTCTTGAGTTGTGTCCTTTGTATAAACTAGTAAGAGTAAGTAAAGCACTTACCTGCTGTTTTAACAAATTATCAAACTTGAGGAGAGGATCATAAGAACCTCAAATATATAACTGATTGGTTAGAAGTGCAGGTGACAACTTGAGATGGGCAGTTGGCTTTTGCAGCAGAGGATTAAGCCCCTGACCTGCAGAGTGGGGCTTACTCCAGGTAGTTAGTGTTAGAATTGAATTGTGGACATTCAGCTGGTGTCGCAGAGAATTGAGAATTGCTTGGAGTGGAAAACACACGTGTTTGGTGTCAGAGGTGCTGTAAGTAGAGAAATAAACTCTTTCCTTTACCCTTAGTGACTGCATCCTATTCTGCTGAAGCCTCCAGGAAGCAATGTCCTGGGAGCCAGTACAGGCAGCTCAGCAAGTGTTTAGTCAGGGAAGCAGTTGTCAGTTGGACCTGAAGCCAACTTTTGGTTCTATCCTTAGAATCATGAAGGTCTAGAAGTAGAGGGTTTGGCTCATTCTTGATACTTGTTTTACTCTCTGGTCAAGGTCTTGAAACCCTTATGGATAGGATGTTTTAGGAAGGACTAGACAGAGAGAGAGTTGTCTCTGGTATCAGATGGAATTGTGATCATATTACATTCAGTTAAAATGAATTTTCCATAATTATAATCATCACTAGGACATTGAAGATAACAATAAATCAAACATATCCCAAATGGAAACAAGAAACCTTGTAAGCAGTTGAATTTAGTAAAAGAAATTACTGATCTATATGCAAATAAAGTTGAGATAGTCCACGGCTGTAGAGGGACATGGAGTTGGATAGATGTCAGCATAACCCTCTATGGTGATGCTTCCCTCTAGAAATGATGACTAGCTATTTCCATCTTGGCTTGTATTTTTCATGTGGTGTTCTTTCCCCTCCCATTTCATTTCCTAGTATTATTTGTGAGGTGAGCTGCCTGCTACTGAGATTATAAGGTCTTTCAAGGTCAGAGAAGGACTGACTCATGTATTCCATGTGTTCTCCCTCTTCTTCACCTCTAACCTAGTGCTGTGTTCTGTTTTGTTTTACTAAACATTTCACTACAGGTTAGTAAAAAAGATAAATTTGATTTATTTTTTGTTTTTGTGTCCCTTGATGATTTCACTTTTACTTACAACAATTGTTTATTCTCCCATTAGGGAGGAAAAGGCAAAGAAACAAATTTCCTTTCTCCTAGAGCAGCAGTTTTCAACCTGTGGGTCGCCAACATGTGGGTCGCGACCCCTTTGGGGGTCGAACAATCCTTTCACAGGGATCCCCTAAGACCATTGGAAAACACATTTATAATTACATATTGTTTTGTGATTAATCACTATGCTTTAATTATGTTCAATTTGTAACAATGAAAATACATCCTGCATATCAGATATTTACATTACGATTCATAACAGTAGCAAAATTATAGTTATGAAGTAGCAATGAAAATAATTTTGTGGTTGGGGGTCACCACAACATGAGGAACTGTATTAAAGGGTCACGGCATTACGAAAGTTGAGAACCACTGCCCTAGAGCCTCCAGAAGGAATATAGCCCTGAGAATAATTTGTGTTTCGCCCTGTAAGACCCAGTTTTGGACTTTACACCTCCAGAAATGTAAGGTCATAATCTGTTGTTTT